TGAAGTACCTAGGAATCGTCCTCGACAGTCGGTGGAACTTCAAGGAACATTTCTGCAGATTAGCTCCTAAATTAATGAGGGTGGCGGGGACCCTCTACAGGTTAATGCCCAACCTGGTCTGGTTGGTAGGCAGGGGAGAGTCTGACATAACCCGCTCACTCTCTAATGAGTGGGTATGCGACAAGCATTTCCCCACGCAAAAAAAAAACGGGCCATCAGAACTCTAAATGAGTAAAACTTGTCAAACACATCACACCGCGCCAATTGAAAGCGCATCAAGGTCCGTCAATCATTGTTATGCAGACGACAGCACGGGTGATGCCTTATATACCGGCCGCGCCAACATATCACGGAAAAACGTCATCGAGTGCCGGAACGAACTTGTGTCTGAAGTCCAAACTTTGTTAAACCAAGTAACAAATTGTGGCCGACTTAATCTAGTCCAATTTAACCCTACGAAGACACAAGTATGCTCGTTCACCGCAAAAAAAATACCATTTGTCGTATCTCCTCTTTTTGAGAACACTCCTCTAACTGCCTCAGCTAGTATTGGAATTCTTGGCGTTGACATATCGAGCGACGTCCATTCATTCAGGGATCATTTAGAGGGCAAAGCCAAATTGGCCTCTAAGAAGCTTGGTGTGCTCAATAGATCGATAATGTACTTCACACCGGCCCACCGACTGCAGCTTTATAAGGCACAGGTTCGGCCTCACATGGAGTACTGCTCTCATCTTTGGGCGGGGCACCCCAGTACCAGCTTCTCCCTTTGGATCGCATCCAGCGCCGAGCGGCTCGAATCGTCGACGACCAGGAGGCCTACTCTATTTCAACGAAAAACGAAATTTCGATCGAAATTTCGCACGTTCCCTACTCTGTTTCCTTTTCATTTCGAAAATTCGTTCGTCCGAAATATTTTGACAATTAAATTCTCCAAGCCTACTCTAATTCACAAAACTTTCGAAGGAAAAGTTGAATTTGACAGATAATTGTTCGAAATTTTGAACTCAAATCGACGAAATGAAAAGTGTTACCTTTTCATTTGCGTTTTGAGATTTTTGTTTTAATTAAGCCTAAAATACTTGCAAGAGTATTTTTAATAATAGCTGCTTAGCTCGAGAAACTTTTTTAGCATGTAAAATTAACAAATAAACCATTTTTTTATTATTTTTTGTAATTTCGATACTTCAAAGTATTAAACGACAAATTGAGGTTGACATACAGTAGATTGTATCGACTCTACAAATTAGTCGGCTAACACTGTCAAAGAAGGTTCTTTCAATGTCATCTAAAAATTTGCCGTAAACTACCTATATTGTTTCCAAGTAAAAAAACGTTTTCTTAAAAGTAGAGATAAAAAGAACTCACAAACATGACTCATTCCATTCGTTCACGAAAACTGTTTATGGTTCCGAAGTTAATGTGCCTGTTCGAAAATGAAATAGAGTAGAGACACTGGCGAAATTTCGTTTGAAATTCGTTCGTTAGCGAAATTTCGTTTCGGAGAAAGAGAGTAGAGCTCCAGGACCTTTCCGATCAGCTTGATCCTTTGGCTTTGCGTAGGGATGTAGCTTCGCTCTGCATCTCCTATCGCATTTATCACGGGGAGTGTTCTGAGGAATTGTTCGGATTAATTCCAGCTGCTGCATTTCGCTATCGTACATCGCGACAAAAATTTCATCCCCATTATCTTGATGCGTGACTATTACAATCGTGTGTTTTTGTCGAAATTTTATACCACGTACGACAAAACTGTGGAATACATTGTCACACTGCTGGTGACAACACGACCCAAAAACCTTCAAAAAAAGAGCGTACTCCTTTCTTAAAGGCCGGCATCGCATTTGTGATACTCCTGGTTTTGCAAGTGTCCATTGGCTACGGTGATCACTTAGCATCAGGTGAGCCGTCTGCTCGTATGCCTCCTATAACATAAAAAATGGGTGCGTGTACTTATGTAGGCGCGTGAGAAGTTATCCTTCTTTGGCATCGTTTAAAATTAGTTTTTAATTGCATGCAAATAATTAATTACAATAAATTAATAAAAAGTCTGGAAAAGGACACAGTCAATAAAGTTCAGTTTTAATTTGAAAAAATAAATAAATAATAAAATATTCAATTAAAATCGCTACTGAATATAATTTATTTGATTTAACATATGTGATTTGCACTTGTATGAAACTCAAACACGTATTCCGAATATACAAACTAGAAACATGTGGATAGATATTATAAATATGAATACCTATAACTGTTACTTTATTACAAAAAATAAAGATGTGGTTTTTGGTTCTACTACACCAATGGTCAAGAGATGGCGCTGTAGTCTCCTGAATCGCGCTTTGATTCCGTTGTTCCAGATTAATAAATACTTTTGATATTATAAATATGAATACCTATAACTGTTACTTTATTACAAAAAATAAAGATGTGGTTTTTGGTTCTACTACACCAATGGTCAAGAGATGGCGCTGTAGTCTCCTGAATCGCGCTTTGGTTCCGTTGTTCCAGATTAATAAATACTTTTGATAGGCCTTCACAATCGTCGTTAGCACCCACTAAATAGAGATTCTATTTCTATATTGTTGGTAGATTTTCTTAATGTGCGGTAAACACAAAAGTAACAGTTAAAGTAAAAGTTAATAATATTTTGTGTTACAGTGATGCGCGCGCATCTTAAAATTTCACTCTCATCATTTTTTCATAACGCGCCTAAAGAAGTATAACTTCAAAAAATCAAAATTATTGTCAATTGTGACCAAGCCCGTAGTACACCTGACGGTAGCATCAAGTCAAAGCGGTAAACTTTGAATATTCTCTTCAATCACATAGACTTTATAAGTCAACTAGATCGTCTCCGGGAGGTTTCCATGTGATCAAATCAGCCTACAAATTGGTTCGTAAATTTTCATGAAAAAAAAAAGAGAATTCCACTGGATGCCATCAAAAAGGAGCTGAATAATAGCGATCACTTTAAAACTACTTGCAATTATGTTAACAGAACAAACACTATGAAAAAACATTGTTATCTATAAAAAAAATGTGATTTACATTCATAAGATGTTTTATTTCTCACCTGTGTGGTATTATAGACTTTCAATCAAGTGTCCACCCTACGTCTAATAAATTTAACTCTATGCACAAGAAAACAATTGCAATTTTCAAGTTTGATTGTAACTCGGAACAGATTTTAAACGCAACTAATAAATATTCAATGAACTTAACATATCTAATACCTCGTTTAGAGTATGCCCATGCCGCTGGCAATAATTCCCTAAATATTGCTGCGGCATTATTGAGAGAAGTATGTGTTTACATTCTGCCCTACCTCTCACTTCGCTTCAGAGTTTCGGCAAGGGCAGACGTCGAAGTAATAACAGCGGCCGAGCTGTGTCTTTTTGCAATCCATAATTATGTTCAAAATTTAAATAATTAATAATTTTAATATAAATAGGTTAATAAATATTAGTTATTAATTGATATTTTAATTAATTAATAACTTTTAATTTCACGTTTTTCTCCACCAAGCGCGTGGCGCGAACTAAGCGACGCGCAGAGTGTGAATACGCATTGCCACTCGCGCTGCCGGTCCTTTGACTTCCGCACAAAAAACCGCTCTTTTGGGGAGCGCCGGACAGCGCGGGTGGCAATGGCAGTGGCATGACGAGTATCGTGTTTACATACTCGTCATGCCCACTTCCCTCCTTACTCGCGCTGCATGTAAACGAGGTATAAGGTTATGCCTATCTATCATTGGTGTGCATGCATTGTAGTTAGCGATGGGCGTTGAATTAACGAACGGTTTAAATAGACGGTCTACGTTCAATCGACGCTTCGACGGTCTACAGTTTATTCGTTAACTAGTTGAATTCATAGACGGCTAAACTGAGAGTCCACAGCGTTCATATCTACTGACAAAGGGTCGACGACGCGTAAACGTATCTGGTTTACCCGTTACAAGTCCATACGTTCGTTCATTCGTTGAAATAAAGCAATTTGAAACGTAAGCATATGGCGTGGGAGTTGATATTTGTTCGTTTTTTAAACTAGAGTTGTTAGAGTAATTTATTTTGTAAACATTTAAAATGACTATAATGTAAAGTGAATACTAAATAAAGACCCCGTCGTCGTCGTTGCGTCGCGCCCGTAGACCAGTCACCGCGTAGTTGATATGAACCACTCAACGCTTGCCGTTATCACGTCAACTAGTTGAAGAATTCAAATAGTTGATCGACTAGTCGATGGACGGTTTAGTTTCGTCGACGAAAAATACGTCGACGACCCACCTCTAGTAATTATTATGAATCCTATTTATCAGTATGTAAATGTATGCACACCATATTTGGTGCGCTATAAAAATTGAAAATATATAAACAAAATTACACCTAAAAGTCTTCCTCATGTTCAGGTAACACAATAGGTGAATATAATTACGCCATAAAATGAAACCATTACGCGGTGTAGAAGGTAAAAAGCGCCATCTATCGAATTAAAAGTGGAAATTAAAAGGAAAAAAATGGAACCCCATTGCTATCACGCTGTCGTCTGTCTGTTCGTCTGTCTGCCTGTCTTTATTTCACGATCTCCCTAGATCGTAAACGGAATGAGTTACATAACTGGAAATTTGATATTTTATGTAGAGAATGCTTGCCCAAATCCAAGTATTAAGTTAAAAATTCAATTACAATATTTTTCATGGGGTCCCATACACGATTTTTTTTTCTTTTTACTTCAGCATGTGACACATTATTGTCTAGAGCTCGTTAAATAAAATATGACTACAATCTTTATTATTCATTGTTATCAATAACGCAGATATGGAGGACCGCCATCAAAACTAGCAAGGAATGTATGGAATATGATGTTTCATAATGCTGTATTTAAACAACAAAAACTGAAAACGCCGATTCATAATGTACTTTGTAAGTTGTGGCGGAAACAGACAAATGATATTTTCTTTCACGGTTGGTTGTAAGCAACCCTTCGTACAAACCTACTCCTCTACGCCTCTATAAACACTGTCGTCGAGCAAGATGACACCACACATTATCCCGTGGAAGTTCTGAACGCCCAGAAATTCCACGGTATAATGTGTGGCAGCAAATAATCTACTTCCAGCGCATACCATCAAGCTGAAGGTCAGTGTCCCGATTATGCTTCTTCGGAACCTATCTTCTCCGAAGTTGTGTAACGGGACCCGCCTTAAAGTCATCTCGCTCCACAGACACACCATTGAGGCGGAAATTCTTACGGGTTGTGGCGTCAGCGAGGCAGTATTTATACCACGCATTCCCCTCATACCTCATAGCTACCCGTGCCAAATCAAGCGCATACAGTTCCCCGTGAGTGTTTGCTTCGCGCTGACTGCCTTGCACTTGCAGGATTTTTTTGTCAGGTGCTGTTCCATTCTCGGATGCAGGCTGCAAGTATGCACGACTGGTTTTGTGTATTTTTGTGAAAATTAAATACATCCGAACCCGGCGGAAGCTGCACTTGTCTTCCTGTCTGCAGCCGCTACCAGAAAGAATTTAGACTATAATTTTATTGATTGCCGCGCGTTCGGCTGCGATCATTGAAATTGAGCAACTTTCGCAGGCAATCGCAAAAAAATTACTATCTCGACCTCCTAAGTGCTTCGCTAGGCACGTTAAGCCGTTGGTCCCGACTTCGCACCTACCAATCCGCACTGGGCCTGAGTGGTGGATCATGGCCCAATCTCCCTATTCCACCCATAGGGAAGGCCTGCAGGCCATGGCAAATGGGGACATTAAAAGGCTTTTTGGAAGCCATTCTTCCTCCGATGTGGGCGATGGTTAGCTAGGGGGCCGCGGCCCGACTGTTTTTTTTTTGAGTGTGTATGCTGATGGTCGCAGATGACTTTTAGAGCGTCACCGGGTTTGGGGACTGCGTAATCTTAAGGGGACCTCAAGCCGAGAATTTGCAAGTGCCTTTTCACGGAGCTCTGCGGCAACTTGACTTTTCAACGGTCCGCACGTGACTGTGTACTAAGAAGTGCTTGAGTGGTGTTCAAGCTCTTCTTGATTGGGACAGCGGAGAGCGTACAGTACGGACGTAGTTGAATTAGTTTATTGGCACAATAGCATCAAATGAAAAGAAAGAAGTGTCACTACATTTTAATTGAGATCTGTAATTTTTGGGGCAAAACGAAATCATAAACTATTTATGTAAATCACATGTTTGAATAATAAGCTAAAAATTCCTCAAAAATACATTTATTTATGTGATTTGAAGTGAAACTTCTTTATCGGCGTTGGAAAAAAATTTACCGTCACATTTTTCGGTTACGCGTCACATTTTTCCGTTACGCGCCATCTTTTTTTATAATAGTTGATAGCTGAATGATCACACTGTCGCCGGCGAGAACTCTCTCTACTCGTTTGTAGCTGAGTGACAATAGTTATTAAAGATAAGACTGGCTCAGCCAAACTCGCATAGCGATACTCGCTCAGCGATGCTCGCTCAGCGATACTCGCTCAGCGATACTCGCTCAGCGATACTCGCTCAGCGGTACTCGCTCAGCGATACTCGCTCATCGATACTCGCCCAGCGATACTCGCTCAGCGATACTAGCTCAGCGATACTCGCTCAGATATACTCGCTCGGTTAAGCTGGCTTGGCTGTCAAAAGCCGTGCGCGTGCATTTTAACTCAGGACTGCCAATTCGTTTCTTGTTTCTACTCGCTTATCGTTCATCGTCGGAGGTGGAACATGTGCCTTAGATTACTGAGCCGTGTAATCATAACAGTTTCATAGGCAGTAATTTGTATTCATGTCTATGATAATAAAATCCTTTTGTTTAAACTTTATCTAATTTAACTTTATTTAACCAATTTCTGGAAAGTTGCATGTAGATCATTCGAAAAATAAGGCCATAAAGAAGTTTCGCTTCTTACGTGTGTACACTAGTACACGCACACATTTTTTTTTTAAATATCGGATAGCATCAATTGCCATAACGACGATGTTCAATCGAGACGACTTTTACTTTCAGACTGAGTTAGGATCCGATTGATAGGACGGTGTAATAATTGCTACCCTAGGCATGGGACACGCCTACCCTTTCGATAGGGCCCTTAAAAATTCAAAAATTCAATATATCGTTTATTCAGTCTAGGCTGTATCCTAATGCGTGACAAGGTATCAGGGAGGATAATGATCCCTGTCTTTTCTATCTTAAAGTTAAATTGACTAAGACGCATGCTCCATCGTGCCAAACGACCTGTGGGGTTTTTTAATTTATAGAACCACAGCAGTGAAACATGGTCGGTGACTATATATTCCTAACCTTCAACATACTGTCTAAATTGTTCGAGTGCATAAATAACAGCCAATAATTCTCTCTCCGTTGTACTATAATTAACATACATTTTTATTTAACCTCCCACATAATACAGTAGAAGGCGCCCTGGCAAGATAAAATCTTTTGAGTCTCATGCGAAGCCCTGAGTAGCCGGTGGTAGTAAAAATTGCTACTTGTGAATGTCGAAAAGCTACGCCATCGGTTCGCAAATCTACGGCGGGAGATCTTGTAATAAGAAGAACCGGCAAGAAACTCAGCAAAGGGCTGTTTTTTCTCCCTGTATTATAATACGGAGTCGTCAAATTGAAAAATGACTTCAATATGAGGTAACTCATAAAGTCACTTTCCATTAAAAATGCACATAATATAAAAATTATGACTATATTAAAAAACTGGTTTAACAAAATTTTGGAAAACCGTGCCTTCTGCTTAGGCAAAAATAATAATAATAATTAACTTAAAATTGGAAAGTGTGAATGCCGTTTAAAAAAGTTAGTAGACTCCGCCCTGTATCACTCTCTTTCTGCTGCATATAAATGACATATTCCTCTTGGGAATATTTATTGCTCTGCAGACAAAAGTACAGTGCACGCGGGATATCTCGGACAAGCAGCGGCTGGACAGCAGGTAACCAAGGAAAAACTGGAGAATCTTGAAACACATTTCCCAATGGGGTACGAAGAACTTGGTTGAGTTCAATAGAAAACCCAGGTTTGCGCTTTCACGTCAATAAACGTCGCCTTTCTTTAATTTCCTTCTCTTCAGAAGAGCATAATCAATCTTCAAAAACTAAGGCCCGTACTACAGAACTAAGTCACGGTAATAATATCATACAGTATTCTATCTTCATACAAACGGTCGGAAAGCGAGTCATACCTACGCCACTCGAGTTCGAAGGGCTCTCGGCGGGCACCCAGTCGCGAATGCGCCGCTGCGCCGCAACGACGACCGAACGGTGTGAGTGAATTGTTTTTTATGCAGCCGTGCTTAAACGTGCGTTTTGTATTGTAAATATTTGATTGAATTAAGTAGATACCTACATAATTTAGTATGGAAAAGAACAAATGACGCGTCGATCTATATCGTACAACAGCACAATTGCTGTTTTTGGTTGCTTGAACTCTTCAATAACCCACCCAGAGATATCATTTTTTAAATTACCTGAAATATTGGAAAGGTGTCTTACCTTTATAGAATATTTTTTATATACCTGTCTACTAGTACGTAATTTGTTTCTAATATTTAGGTATTTAGATTTTTCCATCGGGCAAAATATCTGGAATAATATATAAATAAGTGGTTAGGATGAAAAAAGAGACAAACGAGTAATCTACCAACACTCGCGTTAAAAACAAAACTACATAAAATACTGTAGGCGGGCGGCCCTACCGCGTGCTAACGCAGCGCTCGGCCGTAGGCATTTATTTCAAGGACAGGGCGGAGTCACAATACTGTATAGATAATATTACCGTGACTAAGTGTTGATCTTTACGGCAGCAGTTAAGTAGTGTCGGTTTCTGTAGTTTTTATAACTAGTTTATATATCTATACTAGTTTATATATAAGTAATCATACAACCAATGTGCGCACACCTAAATAGGCAGTGTTTACGTACATAGAGGGGACCCTGTAGCCTGTAATACAGGTTATCCTACCACTGGCAGCAGAAGTCACCTTTAACAATATTTAAGCTCCAATATGCCTCTTGTCACCAATTTTTGCATTATTAATTTAAAATATTGTATATTGTAACTTGCTTTAAGTCAATAAACGTTTATTATTATTATTATTGGAACGAAGTTCCTTACGGCAGGCTTGGAGGGGATAGGGATTTTGCTGCGCGACCGAACTGAAAAAAATGTGATAGTAAAACCGTAAGAAAAAATCCGTGGAAAAAAGTGCTTGGAATAAAACCGTTAAATGAGACGTGCGCAGGCGCGACAGTCGCCGAAGTTCTTTACGGCAGGCTTGGAGGGGATAGGGATTTTGCTGCGCGACCGAACTGAAAAAAATGTGATAGTAAAACCGTAAGAAAAAATCCGTGGAAAAAGTGCGTGGAATAAAACCGTTAAATGAGACGTGCGCAGGCACGACAGTCGCATACACAAGCGAGTTTGCAATTTGTGTCGATTCTACATTAGCCGATGGAACTTCGTTCCTACCTGGTGTCCAACGACACCACATAATTTTTTTTTTACTTGAGTAGCGTTAGAGAGGGTTGCCCCTATGTGCTATATATAGCGACATCGCTTTCTGACTATGCTCAAGACCAGATTCATTACTGAGAATCTTTCTATAATACGGGCGTAAAACTTTAAAGGCATCCCTCCGATCACTGGATCGAAAGGAGAATGAATGATGTGACACTTGAGAAACGTCGAGTGGTCAGACAAGTGGCAGTTTTCTTCAGTCGGCTTTTTGACATGTATGTGAGCATCGGAAACTGAGTACTTACCTTTTTTCCTGAAACGAGGCAATAAATCAGTTTTTTCCACTCATTGAACCGTCAAGTTGAAGTGGTCGAGAAACATCGATATCATTATATTTATTGGCTTTCGAATCCTATAAATGTTGTAGACATGATAAAACTAGGCATATCGGTGAGCCTTGGGCGTTCTTTCTAGGTCAATAATTCTCAATGTTCAATGAAGCAGGCGAGCAGGAGGCACATTAGCACATTTTTCATATTTGAACTCATAAAAATTCAACTGTAAACAGAAATTGAAAGAACATATTTTTCTTAGCTTACTTACGCATTTGTTGATATAAAAATGATCAAATGTTTGAATTTGTTGAAAATGGTAAAGAGAAAAAAGGCGTTTTTTTTAAACTCAAATTTCTTCAAATCTACCTCCCCATGGGGGCACATTTGGATCGACATGGTGCAGTTTTGAAAAATGGATTAAAAACCCAGAAAAAGGAGAGGATAAGGTTATAATTTGTCTTTATTATAATGGCATTATAATGACACATAGAGGAGCTCGATGGCGCAAGTGCTCAGCGCGTTCAGCTGCGATCGTTGAAGTTAAGCAACTTTCGCAGTGATCGGTCATTGGATGGGTGACCAAAAAATTTACTATCTCGAGCTTCTCCGTGCTTTGGAAAGGCACGTTAAGCCGTTGGTCCCGGCTGCATCTGCAGTCG